GTTCAAGTCCTGGACCTGGTGGCTTGCTTTCTCACTTTCTCTCTCTCTGTGTGTGTGTCTCTCTGGTCAAAATAAAATAAGTAAGTGAATAAATAAAATTAGAAATAATTTAAATTAATTAATTAATTTAAAAATTAGAAATAAAAACTATACTTACTTTTAGGATGTTTTCTCTAAAAAATCAATGGGAGAAAACAGTTCAATACAAACCTTTCTAGTAACAAACCACTTGAGCGGGCCCCACAGAATAGTAGTTAAGCACTGTGCATTCAGAGCCAGATTCCACATGGCTGATTGCAGTTTGAATCCTGTCACTAGATGCTTTAAAATACACCAGGTGTATATGCAAGCATACTCAAAATCCTAACAGGACAGAGAAATAGAGAAAAAGGATTGCAGTATAACCATACTCCATTGGGAATTGCACTCTCTCTGTGTCTCTCTGGTGAGCACAAGTGTCCTCTAGCAATAAAACATAAGAAAAACAAATCACTATTAGAAAACAATTCTTAGATCATGATAAAAGCCAGGAATAATTTTAACCCCAAAGAGATCAAATGAAAATTTATATTATGTCTCAACTCCTCCCCACTAACATAACTATCTTTAACATTTTGACTACAGTTTGGAAAACAGTATCTTTTACCATAATTTGCTCAAATGACACATTTTTATTTACTTAATCTTTGACCCATGTTAATCTCATGTAGACTCTTATTTCATAATAACCTTCTAAAATTATAATCTTTAGTTTACATACAATAGTACATTTTTGTGGGGTATGCTATGGTGTTTTTAAAATATGTGTATAGTGTGTGATAATTAAATCAAGGATAGAAACATATTTATCATCTTCAACATCATTTGACATTACATTATGCTGTGGACATTTGATATTTAATCTACTTCATTTTTTTTCTTTTTCCTTTTTTTAAATATAATGACAATGACATTTTTATTCCACTGCGATACATTGTTTTATAATTTATTCTGTTTACATGCATTTTTGTGACCTTTAATCATTTTTGTTTCAATACTCCTAACATCCCTACCCACATGCAATTTCTGGTATCTACAATTACTCTACTTTTATGCTATGGAGAACTTTAGCTTCCACTGTAGAGAGAACACATTTGGAATAGTTTAGGCATACAGTACTTATCTTTCATAGCCTGGTTTATTTCACTTAGCATTATGTCTTACAGGTTCATCCACTTGTGTAAAATGACAGGAAATAGCTGTTCTTTATGATTGAGTAGTATTCCATTGGTACATGTGCCATATTTTCTTTATCTATTTATTGATTGCTAGACACTTAGGATGATTCCATGTCTCAGTTATTGTAAATGATGCTGCAGTAAACATGGATGAGCAAATGTCTCTCTGGCAGAATGACATCCTGTCCTCTGGGTATATTCCGAAAAGTGGAAGTAAGTCAAATGGTAGTTCTGTTTTTGAATTTTGGGGGAACCTCCATACTTTTTTCCACAGTGACTGTACTAATTTACATTCCCACTGGCAGTGCACAAAGGGTCACCTTTCTCCTCAAAATTGCTGGCACTTCTTAACTCTGTGTGTGTGTGTGTGTGTGTGTGTGTGTGTGTGTGTGTGTGTGTTTCATAATAGTTATTCTGACTGGGGTTAGGCAATACCCCACTGTGGTTTTCATTTGTATTTCCTTTATGATAAGAGGTATTGAACATTCTTCAGATACTTTTTTAACCATTCGTATGTTTGTCTTTGAGAGTTGTCTGTTTAGATCAATTGCCCATTTTTAATTAGGTTGTTCAGTTTTTTGGTGAGAGAGCTGTCTGAGTTCCTTATATATTTTGGTTACTAATCCCTTATCAGAGGTAATAGTTTGAAAATGTTTTCTCCCATTCTTCTGGTTGTCTGTATTGTTTCTTTTAATGTGCAGAATCTTTTTAGCTTGATGAAACCAAGTATTGTTGCCTGTGTTTTGGAGGTCTTAGTTACTAAATCTTTGCTTATTCCAGTATTTTGAAGTGTTTCCCCTATGCTTTCTTAAAGTAGTTTTAAAGTCCGGGCTTTATGCTTAAGTCTATTTTTTTTTTTTTTTTTGAGAGAGAGAGAGAGGTTTTTGCTATAGGGCGTGTGTGCTCGCCAGAAAGACAGAGAGAGACAGAGAGATAGAAAGCTAGAAATCACCCCCCCCCAGGGTGGATGGCCACACCACAATCTCTTCTCCTCCATTCTCCTCTCGGGATCTTGGGCACACACGCACATGCACCCGGCATGAGTTTAAGCCACTGGATCCATGACTCGAACCGCGGTCGACTATGTGGGAGTCCAGCGACATAGCCATTATGCTAACTGCTGGTCCCTAAAATTGCATTCTTAATTTCTCCAGTAGTTTTCATTCTGTTATCATTCCTCCTCCAGGTGAAGTAGCCAAGTGGTGATATCAGCTAAGAATAAATAATATCCTCTGTCTTGAATGGGATGCACACAAGAGAGATGTGGGTGTTGTTGAAGAGTTATGTCTCAAGAGGTGGCTAGTTGTTTTTTTTGTGTGTATAATCCCTGGAGATGGAGGAAGCTTTTTGCCTCAGAACCTGGCTTTCTCCCCAGGCCTAGTGCCACAAGTGATTTGTTGCAGGCAGTAGGGGCAGGATAGTCATTGGTATTGGCAGGGGAAGAGGTGACCAGAGCCTAAGTGGGGACCTGCATGTGACTGAGAGATGAATGAGGTAGCATTCCCTTCTCCTCCCCTCCTCCCCTCCTCTCCTCCTCTCCTTCTCTCCTCCTCCCCTCCTCCAAGAAGAGGGGACCTCCAGCACCCTCCTCTTCCCTCTATTGACACTCACAGTTCAGGGAGGTCCCAAGAAGCTGCACCACAGAGGCAACAGAGGAAGCAGGAGGATATTTTCAGAGTCTCAGTCTGGAAAGGGGAAATGTAAGTGCAAACCTGCCAGGAAACAACTGGTTTTCCCAGTCTTTGTTGGGGTGGTGTGTGTTGTGGGAGTGTCAGGTTGGTTACACACCACACTCTCAGAGATGTGGAAGAGCCATTGTCCAATCTCGATGGTATTGTATACTCCACCTGTGGGCCAGCACAAAGACAGTGCCATACACTTTAGACTTAAGGGGAGGTCCAATGTTCTCTTTGAGGTAGTAGATCTAGGCAAGCCCCTAAGATGGGTACAAGATCTGAGTCTCACTCAACTCACTGTTCTCCTGTAGCTGGGGAGTGCAGGGGTACAGGGTGGAAGAAGAGAGTTTGGAATTTTAGAGGGAAGTCCTATTATTTCCCCGTAGTAGGACACTTGAATCAGTTCTGGAGCCTTTCTGAATTTAAATGACCAATCTCCTCTTCATGTCTCCAAAGCTAGATTCAGTGCCCCAGAAGCATCACACTGACTTCCTTCTATATTCTGCCAATTTCACATTACTCCTTTGCTCAAACTACAGACATGTATTCAAATTTTCTGGCCCCTCTTCCAGAGTGATGCCACAACAGTTTGTCACCTTGTCTTTCCCTCCTCCCAATAAATTTTAATTGACTTTTTTTCTTATTAACTAAAAACATAATATTTGTTTTCATTTCATTTTTATAACCTTCATTTGTTTTATGGTAACTCACATTTTATAATCCTTATTTGTTTTATGGTAACTCACATTTGTTTTATGGTAACTTTGTTGGCTTTGGAGACATTCTTCTGTATCTATACATTGGAAGTTTGCTGGCAGTAACTCTCATGTTAGTGCTCTTTTAACCACACACAAACATCTTATTATATTCAGGAAGGATTCCCATTAAGTAAATAAGCATTTAAAATAGAGTGTGACTGCTACTACAGTAGATTTAAATACTAGATGCTGTGGAAGCACTTGGGACAGACACTTGACCCAGTCTAGAACCAAGAAATCTTCCTGGCAAAGGTGACTGCTGAATAGAGTTGATGAGTTAGTAGAAATTACTATAGCACATGGCCAGATAATCCATTAGGCACTAGTATTGGAGTCCTGAAAAAAGCTATTTACTCCAGAAGAAAAACTATAATTATTAATGCACTATTAACTGTTAAACTTAATATGCACTAAAATGTCATTACATTGAAATATAAAAGAGCTTTCCATACAAAGAGAATCCCATTCTGAAGGGCCTGCTATGCTCAAATGAAAACTTTAGAGTTGACCCTAAGTCCATGAGAAGCCTCAGGCAGATTCTTGTGAGGAATCACATGGCCGACTGTACCTGTCAGAGTATTCCCTTTGGTGGTCACCTCTGGATGGGGAAGCTAAACTAGGTTGTATGACATATTCATTTCTTTGGGCTGAGATCCTGAAGGTTAGAGAACCACCCTCCAAGACATGAATCAAAGCCACAATCACAAGAAAAGCACAAAGAAATGAGTTTTTAATAGAAAAGTAAGATTTTAGAAAGGAAGTACACCCAAAGACATTTTGGCCGGAAGTTGCTAGGTAGCAACCAATTTGGAATGAATTGTGTGCCATTTTCATTGTAAGGTTGGTTATGAATATTTAGTAGGAGATGTCTGTCATTATAGCTGGCTTCTTGGTTTGAATTCACAGGCTTTCATCTGTGCTTGTGTATCTCACCTCAAGTAAGGAATTTGAGAAATTTGATTATCCAATTATGCATACCCAGTGTGGACTTTGAAGGTCTGAGCATCTTCAAGGCAACTAGCTGCCCCTATCAATTTATTGCCCTGAATGGGAATTAGGATGCTGAGCAAGCATTTCAGTGTATTTTCATGTGCATATGCGGAATAGCAGGAAGGAAGGGAACAGTCTTCCCAAGTTCATAGGAGAAAACTTAGGTAATAAAGAAATAAAAATGAGATTAGCTTCCCCTTTCCAGAGGCCCAGAGTCAGGAGGAAGGAAGGAATCCCCCTAAGAAAGAACCCAAAATATCCCTGATAAGCTGATTGATGAAGCCAAAGTCCTACCATTATCTCAAAACTACCTGCTCGCATCTGTCTATCTACCTATGGCAAGTAGGCTTTTGGAGCACTTGACAAATGGAGTGGTTAAGCCTTGGGATCATAAGAGCCTGGGATAATCTCCTGACCCCTAATCTTGAGATACTCCAGTTCCCCAATCTGGTGCCCTGCATGACTTCTTCTTATCTTTAAAAATCCTCTGGTTAAGACTTCAGAAATAGAATCAGAAATGGACACAAGGCAGTAAACACCAATCCAATCCTGAGTTGAGATGTCTGAGGCAGTCCCCACCCACTGGGTTTGGATTGAAAGGATTAAATTGATATCCTGGAGGGAAGAATTCTCCATGAAATATTTGTTCTCTTTGCCTGTATCCACTGGGATAGTTAGGAAAACTCTGAGTCATTTTTGCTCCCTACTTCCTGTATATTCTCAGCCTTGTTCCCTTTTTCAGAAATAGTATGTTAACTATTCTATATTCAAAGAACAGCATTTTGACCTCTGCCCTGTGACTTCCTGAACCTCTTCCTCTTATAAATATACAAGCAGAGCTGGGAGTTAGGGAGCAGTGAGTCCAGGAGCCTTCAGGCCAGCTCCACCTGCCCACCAGGATGAAGGTCTCCATGGCTGCCTTCTCCTTCCTCATCCTCACTACTGTGCTTGGATCCCAGGCTCGGGTCATAGATGGTAAGTTCAGTGAGCCTTCTCATAAATGCTAGGTCCATGGTAACTGTGACCTGAGGAGGAGACACTGGGGGCCACCACTGCCTTCCCACAGCTGCTCTCCATCCCGGACTTGGCTGTGGGACTTATTTGAAAGCAGCAGCAGGATCTAGACCTGCCTCTGTCTGCAGCCTTTGGTGCCTGGGACAAACTGCACAGATGGCTGGTCCTATCTGGGGATAATTATTTCCCTTCTCATGGTCAGAATTATTTGATACCTTCCCTTAGCAGACATAGAACTATTAACTGCTAGATCAAAAGAACTAGAATACAATTGAGAATTTATGAAAGGAAGCATAGAATTCTATGATGTTAGAATATGTAATCAAGTGGGACCAGCAGTTGGTGTAATGGCTATGTCACTGGACTCCCATGTAGTCGACCATGGTTCGAGTCCTGGACCCGGTGGCTTAAACTCACGCCAGGCACAAGTGCGTGCGTGGCCAAGATCCTGAGAGGAAAATGGAGAAGAAGGGATTGTAGCATGGCTATCACTTCTTGGGGGGTGGTGGTGGTAATTTTTTGCTTTCTGTCTCTTTGTCTCTCTTTGTCTTTCTGGCGAGCACATGCGCCCTATAGCAAGGACCTCTCAAAAAAAAAGGAATTCGTAATCAAGTATAAAATTATCATTTTGAAGAGGAAATGGGACCATCGAGGCAAGTGACTCACCTGCCACGATTACTATCTCATTCATACCTGTGGAATTTTAATATATGGAAATTACTGAGCATCACCAGAAAAGCCAAAGCAATTGAGAAAAATAATATATTACTTACCTTTTCCAAGGGGAGGAGGTATACCATGCTGCACAGGGGTACAGGGGAAGCTCTGGATTTTGGTCAGAAGGTTCAAGTGGGAAGGAGGGGCAAACCTGTGCAAGGACCTTTACTGAAGTTTCTGAGGAAAAGACAGGGCATAGCAGAACATACAGTTTAGGTTGGCTCATTTTAGTAAGTCTGACAAGCTTGGGGATATGGGAACAGTTTCTAGTTGTCTGCTACCTAGCCTCAGGGTGACTTAGGGCAAGAGAAACATTGGCTTCATGAATGAGAGTTAGATAAAGGAGTGGTTGGCCATAAGGGCCAAGATTGGTTGATTTATATATGAAAAGTGAACTCCCTGCTGGACTCCTTGCTTTCTCTAAGAATTGTCTGACCCTGGGAGCAGCAGTTTTTCTCCAGCTGTCAAGATTTTTAAGATATCGAAATATCATAAGATGCAGAAAGAAAAATATTATTGTCCCAGCCACAATGGCACAGGAGGTAGAACACAGCTGAGCAAGGCTGGAAATGCATGGGGGGTCAGGAGTACCCTGGGTGTGATGGCATATGCCTGTCATCCCAGCTAGTTGAGAGACTGGGGCAAGTGGATCACAGCATGGCAAAACCTCATAAAGAATCCCCATCTCTGTCTTTTCCTCTCTCATACTAAAAAAAAAAAAGAAAAAAAAAAGTGGGGTGCTGACCCATGTCCTAGTGGTTAAAGAAAGCAGATCCCACATAACCCACTGCAGTTCAAGTCCTGGCTCCAAAAACTTTGAAAACCATGCTGGCACATGTGCATGCATGCCGAGAATCCTGACAAGATGGAGAAATGAGAAGTGACTTAGCATGACCACATCCCATTGAGAGCTGCTTTCTCTCTCTCTGTTTTTGGTTTCTCTCTGAGTATATGCACCCTCCAGCAATTAAAAGAAAAACAAAACAAAAAACATGATTAATTCAGTCACCCAGGGCCAGCAGATGATGTGGAGGTTAAGGCAGCTGGATCCCTCATGACTGACTGCAGTTGAAGTCCCAGACCCATCAGCTTGAAAAGCATGCTGGGGTGTGTACATATGTGCCCAAAATCCTGAGTGGAGAATGGAGAAGGGATTGTGGTGTGGCCATCCCCTATGGGGGATCATTTCTTACTTTCCCTCTCTCTTTCTATCTCTCTCCGGCAAGTCCTATATAAAACAAAAACAAACAAAAGGTAATATAGTTACCTAAATATTCTTTTAACAAATACATATATAGTACTTTCTAATCATAGGTGCCACGACAGTCAGCGTCCTAAGCATCTTACAAAAATTAACACACTGATTCCTCGTAGCCCTGTGGGGTAGGTATTAGATTGAATAAATGTAAATTTGCCATTCTTATAGGGGAAAAACACAGTAGGACATCAGCGATTTTATATAGTTTTGCATATTAGTAGTAGTAATAGTATATTCATTTTCTAAATGAGAAAACTAAGGCATAGAAGCCTTAGATAACTTGTCCAAGATCATACAGTAAGTGGTGAAATGAAGATATGAGCTAGTTAGGAAGTAGTTATAGAAAGACAAGGCCATTTAAGATCTTTTCTTCTTTTTTCCTTTTGGCAAGCCCATCCACATAGTATTGAGCATATTCGAGTGTACCCAAGCTTCGTATTAAATATAATTCATATGTGACTATATGTGACCTAAAACTAGAATGGGCTAGACATTTAGTTGCATTTGCCTAATTAGCATTATATGATTCCACAATCTCGTATGTAAATTATCACTATATGTATTTGGAATACATAATTGTTTTGGTTTTATAAAGATAATACATATCTTAACAGTATGTTCCTTGGTAGGGGGCCTACAGGTGGCATGGTGGTTAAGACCGTGGATTTCCACATAGCCAACCACGGTTCAAATCCTAAACCCAGTGCCTTGAAAATCACACCAGGTGCATGTGCATGGGTGCCCAAAATCCTGACAGGAGAATGGAGAAGGGATTGTGGTGTGGCTATCCCCTCTCGAAAAAAGAGAGGTCTGGGAAGCATATTTTAATCAAACACAGTGATATTTCTGCAATAAACATGTAGGAATATTTCTAATAAATGAGATAAATAAGGACTTCAAATAGCCTCCTTCATTTTGGGTAACATTGTACCCCCAAGTGAGTTGATAAAAAATTTGTTTCCAGAGTCCTAGGGACTCCAGAAATGTGTAGAAGGAATCATGGACTGTATCGCATTATGTGGACATTTAAGTAACTCATCCAAGTTAGATTCCCAGTTTGCTTTTGTACTTCAGGGTCAAGAGAATGTTTTAATGTCTCAAATATTTTCAGACAACCCCTGAAAAATCTCAGAGTCCTAATGGAAAATAGTAGGTCTGGAGGCAGATGATCCAGCATCAGGGCCCCTCTTCCTCAGGGTGGGGGTGAGAAATGAGGTGAGTGGAGATGCTGAGACATTGCTGTCTCCCAGCAATTTCTCTCACTTCCACATCTGTTTCTTCCAAACACAGAGACAAGAGGACTTACGCTATCAGAGCTTAACATTGAATCCTCAGATCATCGCTTTGGTAAATATTCAGTTACAACATGTATTTTAAAACAGCAGGTGAATGCAGACCTGCGCTATGGTTCTGTCTACCTCATTTACAGGATAGGGTGAGAAGGGGAGCATCCTAAGGGTGGTGAACATCTCCAAGGAAGGGTAGGATGGCCCATGAGTACCTGCTCTGTAGATGCCTTCTCTGGCCCCACCTGGCTGTCCTGCATCTGTTCACCAGGCAGAGGAGTTCTGGGATACCAGC